ACGACAATGACACTAGTGCACCACTTGAACCTCCGTGTGGATGGATGCTCTGTCTAGAACAGAGCATATTACTATTAGCAGTGGATGAAAGTAGAACAAGTTTAAGCCTAATGCAACGAAGGACCCGGTTGAGAAGGTTGGTAACCGCATTGGACGTAACGAAGGCGCTGTGTGAACCAGTGATTGATCAAATCCATTGTAAACCTGCGAAGGATTGGTTGCTGACCAGCCAATCAGGGTGAAGTAGACGCTTATATTAAGGGGTTCTTTGTTAAAGGGGCCACGCTTGGTCCTGCTCTTAGTCATGGCGTTGGAGTCGCGCGGGGATGTTAGTAACGTGGAGTGTGATGTCGTTGTCTTTATCAACGACACTATTCGTTCACTCGGGTCGAAATTTTCTATGATTGAAGAAGCCCTCACTAAATTTGAGGAGGCATGTTTGCTTTAAGGCGAATTGACGATAGTAGACGCGTCCCTTGTTAGCTAATGAGGCAATGTGTTTTACTTTTAGGTGAATCCCAAATTCTTCGATTCCTGTGAGATTATTCCATTCCCTGGGCATCGTTGCCGAAGATTGGTGGGTGTTTGTATTTGTTATTCTAACTACTACCGCATTGTTATTTGTTGTTTTAACTACTACCACATTGTTCCTGAAGCTACGGTTATAAACAAAATTGTGAGGTCAAAGTGTTTACTGGTAGTTGACGCGCCGTGTTCCTAACAGGCTAGGATTGCATCAGACTAACTCGATATGTCTACTCATACGTTTGATGAGGACCTTCTCTCGCAAAAGCATCAAATTGAGATGTCCTTTTACAATATCCATTTTGACTCGACACTTCAGGCCTAAAAGATGGTGAGCTTTCGGCAGGTCTCTTCATATGTCGTAACCCTTCCCACCACAAGCTTTTTCTGTGAAGTGTGGTCCAGCTAGCTGCGAATTTCCAGATTTTTCGCACCCATTCCTCCTATCCACTGAACTCTTCCTTGAGGTACTGGTTATCCACTCTTGATTTTTAATTGTTTACTAACTCACTATCAGATCAAGGGGGGTCTCGGGGATGAACTTGACTCTGCTCTTAGTATAAACAGTCACTATATCTATGCCAATGTTTATTCACCACTAAGTTCTGGTGTCAACTCCAAACTACAGGGAGCAAACTTTTGGGCGTCGAGGTATCAAACACCTGAGCGTGAAGCCTTTTATCAAATGTCGCTTTGATCTGTAGGTTTCATATGCGGGTACCAACTTACTTCACATCGATGAAGATGGTTGTAATCGTGCTTTCTTCTCCTAGATATATTCTCCAACCGGGAAGCTTCATGGAGATACTGCCGACAGCCGCAACATTTCTGATGCAGCCTTCAAAGCTCTCCAAAAGTATGTAACCTGCGTTGAATGCGGGCGCGATCGCGCCTTACTTGCTGGCATCTGGAGACTTATAAGATTTCCCACAATTTTGAACACTAATTACCATGGGAAGTGAGAGTCACAATTCGGCAGATATATTTAGACAGCGTGGTCACTTATCCACACAGGTAGTAGGTATAGGTACAGCCCTATGAAGCACTCATTTCTCGTTGGCATTGTAGAGCACATCATATTGGGTGTCGGAAACCTCTCCTGGTGCTCGGAGACCTTACATCGGGACCAAAAGATGCCGTCTGGATGCAGAAGGACTTCCCCTTACTGAATGCCATACTCGGCGCTCTACACGCCCTCTACAACGTAAGATGTATTTCAACACACATTTAACATTCCCGTTGTGAAATTCTCTTTACATGAGGCTAAGAACGTGGGAAGTTTGGCATGATGAAGGGTTTTATTCTTAGCCACTCGAATTACGTGAGGCTTTTCCCAAGAGGGCGAAGAAATTTGATAGTCTGTTGGTGTTTGGTGCTTCGGAGAAAATCTTGAAGGTTGCCCATGCGATCGAGGAGGGCCGACGTGTGGCTCGTGACATCGCAGGATCGGATCCAGAACGGATGTCTGCCCCTAGGATAGTTGAATATCTACTGAACGAATTTGCCTCCGTGGAGGAGGTGATAATGAAGGTAGAAGAGGTCGATGCCTCTGCATACCCTCTCATTGCTGCCGTCAATAGAGCCACTGCGGGTAAGATGGACACTTAGTATACCAGAACTCTCGATTTTCATGGTGGTATTGATGCACTCATTATTCCAGGAATTGTGCGTCACAACGGAAAAGTGGTTCATTTGAGCTACACGGG